TACTGAAGTGTCCAGTCTCCAGTCGCTGCCGTCTCGCCAGTGACGAGAAAACCAATCCGCCGTGAGGTTGTTGGCTCCTGGTAGATATTCCGCTTTGATCGTAATGGTGCGGGGAATACAGAATTGATAGATGTCCTTCGTCGCCTCCGTCAGGATCCTTGATCGGGCTCCCCCTAGTCGATTTATGTATTGGACCGCGGAAATGTTGTCCATGCGTAGAAGGATGCAACAGTTTGCCATGTCCTTGGCTAGACTGCGAATCGCAAACGATCCCGCAATCAGTTCCAGGCAGTTGATGTGGAGACCCTGTTCCTCCCATGGACCTCCCGTGGATGCGTGGGTGCAGTGGGCTCCCCAGCCCCAAAGGCTCGCGTCCGACTCCAATACAAAGTTCGAGTTCGCCCCAAAAATGGCTCTGCCGTTCCAGGCTTCCATGTGCAGTAGCCACCACCGAAGTTCCGTCCGAGCCTCCGTGGAGACAGGAATCCAGTGATCGTATGTGTGTCCGGTTCGTAAATATTGGGTTTTCAGTCTCTGCATTGCCCGGTAGTGGAGCAATTGTATTGATGAGGAGAGTAGTCCTACTATCCTCGCTAATAGTCGGAGAGGTATGGTGTCTCTCCTGAGTATCCGTCGGATCTCCTTCCGAATGGCCGCTATCTTGGATGCGGGGAGACGTAGCACACAAGAGTTGGAATCTATCTCGAACCCGAGGAACTGGACTACTCGTGATGGAGCCAATGATGACTTCTCTCTGTTCACTATAAACCCCAATGATTCCAGAAAGTGTATGGTAAATCTCGTCTGAGATTGAATTCTGGACTTGGAGTCGCCAAAGATCAACAAATCGTCCAGATACACGAGGCAGCGTATTCCTCTTCCTCTCAGATGGGCCATTACTGGTTTGAGAAGTTTCGTAAAACATCATGGAGCCGAACTGAGGCAGAATGGTAGACATGTGAATTGACAAGGGCGACCCCTTCAGATGAAACGCAGGAAGACTCTGCTTTCTCGAGCCATGGGAACCGACAGGTAGGCGTCTTTTAGGTCCAAGCGTGTGAACCAGTCGCGTTCGTTCAGCAGATCCCTCAGAAGGTGAATACCTTTCATTTTGAAATGGCGGTAAGCCACAAATCCGTTCAGTTCTCGTAAGTTGATGACTGGGCGGTAGTCTCCCGTCTTTTTCTTGACAACAAACATGTTGCTGAAGTAACCCTGGTTGTCTGGGGCAAGTTCCACCGCTCCCTTTATGAACAGGGTTCGTATCTCCGTGTCTATGAGGCGTCTCTGACGCCCGGATTGGTGATGGTCGCCTGATCTGAACTGGCGTACGGGTAAATTCTATCACGTACCCTCGCACGGTCTGTAGGATCCATGCGTCTGTGGAGATTCGTTCCCATTCCTGCGGAAAAAGGGACAGTCTGCCAGCAGTTATATTTGAAGGACATAACGGAAGATAGTTCATGCTCACCTGAGTTGTAACCGAGTGCCCCTTGTACGCAAGGATCCCCTTGTGAAGTTGGCTCTTGCAGATGGGAAGAACTGTTGCGTAGCGTATGGGCGACTGGGGCCCGATGGCCAGAAACGGCTGGTGGCCCGACCCCTCTGCCGACCAGCCCTGCCAAAAACACCTCGAGTTGTCTGTGGGTTCTGCAAGACTTGTCTAATAGATGATTGTGCCTTATTCAGTGTAGTGAATAGGCCTACGTGCTTTTTCAGTTCTGCCATGAATGGTTCTCCAAAGAGCAGTCCATCCGCCAGGGGGCCTAGCTCTCTCTTCCCCAGGTCCAACAGTTTGGAGTCTATATTCAATAAAGCCGCTTTACGGCGTTCTGCGCACATGGCGGCATTGGAATTCCCTAGTAGGCAGATCGCTCGCTGTGCCCATTCTCTAATGTCGTGGGCCTCGAGGGTCGTCCCCTGGGTGAGGGCCACATCTGCGAAGTATAGGATCTTCGCTAAAGGACCTAGCATGTCCAGCATTTTGTCCTGGACTGATTTCATGCCCTTCTCAACACCTTTCCGTGGGTCTCTGCCCGAGTGGGACATAAACACCCCCACTGTGGCATCAAACTCTGGGGTGAGGGCTATCTTGTCCGGGAGTACGGGACGTGGACACTCTGCTTTGAGCTTGGCCCGAACCTCCTTGTCCATTGGCTTCCTCAGCCAAAAATGTACAAATTGAGTCAGATGGTCCGGCAGGTTCCATTCTGACGATCTGGGGTGGCGTATCTGGCGTGGATCAAACAAGGGGTTACCTGTTCCGTCCAGAAACACCCCATCTTCATATACCTCCGTATGCACTTTACGTGTGCTTTTGCCGCCTGAGCGGTGTGCCCGTTCGGGGCCTTGGTCGCATTCTCCGACCTCCTGAGGCATGTCCTGCCAGTCCTCCTCCTCCGAGGGGGAATCCTCTGCCCTCCATTCGTCCATGATTTCTAATGAAGGTGGAGATAATGGCTCTTCATCCCCTGAGGAAGGGGGCTGTGGAGGGGAGCGTTCCGGGAGCCTAGACTGGCGGCTCCGCTTCCGCAACACCTTCCCCTCCCATCTCTGCAGGGTCGTGTTGGATCCCTTCCATTGTCGTTTGCACGGCCCAGCCTCCGCCTTGGACTCGGTGGGATCTTTATCCTCTTTTCTTGTCGGAGGCGCGGCGTCTGCCCCCTCCGGCTGTGGTTGCGCCATCATTTTGGCCAATGCCTTTTCCACCGAAGCCGACACTGCGGCATTGATCATGGCCTGGAAATCCATGGGCGATGATGGAGGAGCGTCTGACATGGTGGCAGTTTGTTCTTCCCGTCTGTGGGTAGATATGGTATACGTCAGTGCGTATGTAGCTACACAGTGGCTTCTACGTACAACTGGGGGTCACCCAGGTACCATATAATCAGTACCACTAGGAGTTTGAGTAGTGGTCTGTAGAGGGGGTCACCCTCTCATCGACCGGGGTGCACGGTCGTTAAGGTTGGGACGAAGCCCAGTAATGGTCGGGACGAGGCCCGGTAATGGGAGGTGTCAAAGACCTCAGTACGCTTTTTTTTTTTTTGCATGAAATTTGTGGAAGATATGCCACTGTGGGATCTTTTACCAATAGGCAGTGAATTGCGTGGATCACCCCAGTTGTACCATGGAGGTGCCGCATACAATAAAGCGTACGCTGCTATAAGCCCTTGAGTGGGCGTGAAGATCACCCCTGTGTAAATTTTTTATTTTTTTTTCCTTCTCCTCACTAGTAGCAGTGTCAGATTTCTATGTATCCTGTCTTCAGTGTATGCACCCCTGTGAGTCAACCACCAGTGCCCTCAGTGAGAGCTAGACATTAAGTATAGCAGCCTGAGCAGTCCATGAGAGTTGCCCTGCCAATCAGGTAAGTATTCCTTTATGCTTTATTTTCAGTTTATGTGCCTGCAGTAACTCCCCTGTAGCCAGGGAGTAAGGGGTTAACTTTGGACTTCAGTGTAAAACAGTATGTAAAACCTTGGGGAAATCAGTTACAAGCTCTATGCCAGTTCGTGGGAATCACGAACTGGCAACCTAAGATGGCCGCCAAGGATCTCGCGAGATCCAAGATGGCCGCCGTTCCCGCGCAAATTTGGCAGCGCGGCCCGCGATCGCGGTCCGACGGTCCTGGCCGGCACCCCCGTGTCCCCCAGTTACCCCCCCAGCCCTTGGAAAGATGCCGCGAATCGCGAGGGACCAAACAGACCAGAGGCAAAGGAAAGTGCAGTCCCAGTGACAGGGTAAACCCCACAAGAGAAACAAACAATAAAAAAGCTGAGGGAGCAGGCAAAAAACTAAGTGTATTTAAAGGGGAACAGACAGTAAAGGAGGGAGTAAGCCAGCCTCAATTAAAGAGACAGTAAAAATTGCACATATAATAAACAAATAGTGAGAGCAGAATACTCTGACCTGTGCCTTGGCTGGAACCAGCAAAGAAAGAGGAAGTCATGTGACAATCAGAGCTTTATATATGGTTATGTACTCTTTTATGATTGGTTAAAAGTTTATTGATTGACTTGTGCTGCTGGAGGCATGAGTAAAGAAAGTCATGCAAAATAGGAAGCCTCCTGTCATGTAATAAAATTATCCATTTGGCAGATCAGAGGATTTCTCTATACTTTGACCCCACATCAGATTCTGTGCACCTGTTTAATTTTGGGAGGATTATTTGGATAATTTTATATTTGTTTGTTTATTATTCCTTTTGTGCATGTTTAACTTCTTATATTTTTTAATGTTTTATACTTACACATTCTAAAAGGGTACTACACTATAGTAGCGTTTTCTTGTCCTTTTGCGCTTTTTTTAGGCCGTATCTACTAATCTCCTAAGAGCGGCATTAGAACTTAAAATATATTACTAAGACTTGATAAGGGTACAATAAGCTAATTAGACTATTCTTCATTCATAAACAGAACTCTGTAATAGTTATCAATAAACTGATCACTCCTGTTGTATAGTTCTGCAGGGTGTGCATGTTGTATATCTATACCTGGTTTCACCATGGCGGTTTTACTGATCAGTTTTTTCCCCATCTCCTAGGAGCTGCGGACAAACCAACCTCGACACGTGAAAGGAAAGTATCATGATGTCAGTTACACAGATCTCTATGGTGTGGGTGGTCTTACATTGGCAAAAGGAGACCCCTTGGGGGAGTTTAATTTTGGCTCCACTATAGTGCTAATTTTTGAAGGTCCACGTCACTTCCACTTCCAGGTCAAGAACGGTGGTCGGATCCATGTGGGGGAAGCACTAGGAACTCTGTGACCTTAGCAAGGCGTGATCACACTCCTAGCATGCACTAGGTCAGAGCACTCCCTTTCAAACTCAGATGGGCAGAAACAAACTGCCATTTTATCTTAATAAATACATTTGAAAACAAAGTGTGAAGAAAATGATTTTATTTAAAATTACAAAAAAGTACACATTAAAAACACACAGACACTGTGCTGCCACTTACAAACCACACATCAGCAGTAAGTATTAGGGTAATGCCAAATCTAGGAGTAGCTAGCACGAGGCATAATTCCATTGACCAAATCTTTACGGATAGCCCACCGCAATCCATACCGCTTCTTTTCTGTGGGAACAACATAAGTGTTAATTGCTGGAAGGGGTCGAGGGAGAGGTTGAGGTGGTGCACATATCATTTGCTCACGAATTTCCCAGCGCAGGTCTTTCCTGCTCCGTTCCAGAGCCCTTTGAATAGCATCCCAGCTCTGCTTATATTCCTGATACCGACCTACTGGGTCTGAACGCTGTCGGTACTGATCAAGCAGTGAATACGAAGGGGGACGAATAAAAGATTTGGTGTAGTCAGTTGAAGGCTGGTGACAAGTCTCTGCACTTGGGCCTTCAGAGATCTGACTGTCCCTCTCCTCTGACTCACTGAACATAGAGGACTCATCGGTGACTTGTATCTGCCCATTGCTTGTTCTGCGTAGTACTTTGCGTGTCAGTGGCTGTGTGGTTCTTAGAATTCCCAACCCACGTCCACCAACATTTACATTGTGCTTGCTGTAATCTCCATATCCCACATTATCCAGACTGGAGAATGATGAAGGTGTAGCCCAGCCAGCCAGACTACGCACTTTTAAAGGTTTTGATACAGGGGCTGTCTCTTTGGAACTTCGAGAAATATCAGTAATTCCTTTCCTCATGAGGCGCACAAGGTCCTCCTTGAATTTTAAGATCACCTCCTGCGGAACTTGTGGGTAGCCCAGGAAAGATAATTCTCTCTGTAACTCTTCTTCAGAAATGTCTGAAATGTCCAAAGAACTACTCTGAGACTCCTCCAAGGATGATAAGCAGTCACGAGAGACATTTCTGCATGGATGGTGCTCCATGGGATGCCCGAAGCAATCAGAACAACACTTTCCCACCTGAGATCAACCTCTGAGATCTGCAAATACACACAATAGAATATATTTAAGGGTTTATCAAATCAAACTGAAATAGAACATAACAGATTGCTGTTCAATTTAATTAGTTCTGGAATTGTAAAATTGAAGGAACACTTCACTTCAGTGCACTGCCCCCTCACCTCCCTCCCATAAGTAGTAAAAAGAGATAGAAACTTAGAATGTAGGCTTGGCTCATTGGCATAAAGTGGTCAGCTGACACTCACAGTCAATGAGCTAGGCCTGCTCTGCAGGACTTGGCTCAGGAGAAATAATGGAAGTTCCTTAACAGGAGCATCATGCTCTGTCAGTAGTAAAGGAGGGGAGCAACTCCATATAACTCGGCTGCCATCGTTGAGGAGTTTGCATCTTTTTACTTCACATTGTACAATTTCAAAGATGACACCAGCCCACCTACCGAGAGATCTGTGCATTTCTACACCATTTACACTTTCCTACCACCTCGCAGCTTTAGAAGCTCCCATCTCCACAGAGGTATTGCAGTAGCCATCAAAACGTTAAATAAAAGGAAATGGCCACGCCCTGATGGTGTCATGCTTCTGGTCAGGTTAGATATGAGACTGAAACTGGGATCAACTTTAGGTTGTGATCTTAGACATGGTTTGTCTTGAAAACAATAAGAGGACTTAAAGGAAGTGAAATAATAAAGACAAAGGGGGAAAGAAGACCCTATAAATGAAATTACAGGTAAGTATTTTGTGGGCTAAAAAATAGAGATTTAGGCAATAAGCCCTAGTCAGGTTAATAGGAAAATAGGTAGAAGCAGAACCTAAAAGATATATAGGCAGTAGTAAGAATGAGAACCTATAAACGAAATTATAGGTAAGGTACCAGGAGATTACAGAAATATAAAATTTAGGCAATAATCCCCAGGCAGGTTATTCAGTAACAGGATAACATAGAAGAGAGATTACAGGTAAATTCGGAGAAGAACATTTATAGGTTACAGGTAAAACAAAATACAACTAGTCAGAAATAAACAGAAATATAAAGGAAGTAAGTAACACAGATAAGTCAGACGTTTAGTTGATCAATCTCTTTGGTTTGGAGGTTGTACAGCAGGTTTTGGATAGATGTATCAGGGTCCTTTAGGATAATTGTAATTATCAGGGATGTTTGTAATATCCACGCTGGTTAAGTAGTTTTCGGTATGTGTAGAAACAAATAAAAAATAAATCCAAGTCCAGTATTGAATAAAGCAGGTTATCTCCAAGCGTATGGATAGTAAGTAGGTTTGGAATGTAGCAGGTTGAAAGAATGAATCAGATTGGTCCAATAGTATTCATAGTATAGCAGGATTTTGCAGTTGGAGCCAGGATCAGAGCACAAACTTCAATCAATGTAAAGGCAAATAGTGAAGTAGGGTTTAGCCTCATAGCATATTTAGATGATCATGCTATGCAGGTGAGTTACTTTGGAAAGACTAGTGGCGAAAAACTGGAATTGTTGAAATAAAGAAGCAGAAAATAAACAATTTTTGTTTGTCAGTATAGGATCCTGACAGATGGCCTTTACTACAAGAAATTTGCAGATGTACTCACACCTTATCTAGGCTCTCTTACATAAATTCCAAGGGGACAATTCCCATTCAATTTTTGCATACACATGTAATTACGCTCCCTAAATTAGCAAACCAACAACGTGCCCCAATTTTAGCCCCATATCTCCCCTCACAGACACTAAACTTTACGCAAAAATCCTACCAAACTGCATTATACACATACTATCCCAACTCTTGCACATTGACCGGGTGGGATTTGTCCCGCATAGGCAAGTCTCTGAAAACACCAGGAAATTTATAAACATATTACACCATGCCTGCGGAGAGCGGAGGTCATGTCTGTTCCTCTCCCTCGATGCCGAGAAGGTATTTGATATGGTGCACTGGGGATATATGTGGAAGTTGTTGAAGCGATATGGATTTCCAAACTCCTTTATTGAAGCAGCTAAACGGTTATACTCCTGCATGACTGCATCTGTTGTGTCCACTGGGTTTTACTTCACCCTGTTTAAAATACCAAATGAGTCTAGACAGGGCTTTCCACTCTCTCTACTCTTATGGGACCTGATGCTAGAACAACTGGCATTGGCTATATGTGAAAATCCCAATATCTCTGGTTACTCAATGTCTCGATCTGGATCATGAACCTTGGAAATGTTTGCTGAAGACATACTGGTAGCCAAATCAAACCCTGAAACCTTACTTCCCGCCCTTCAGTCGGTTCTGAAGGATTTGACGGGTTTCCTAGCACAAGATTAATTGATTCCAAAAGCCATACAAACGATAGTATCTTTAAACTCAATTAATCAATGTATACAGCTCTAATGTAGCTTAACTAAATGGAAAAGCCTTGACCTCTCATGGTTAGGCAGTCACGTCAGTCCTCAAGTTGTTTTATATACGATGCGTTTCATACCCTTCCAATTCCAGACTCTCTAATACTAACCATCCCAAAAAGTCGGAAAGGTTACATAGATTTTCAGCCCAGAAGAGTCAATAGAAGCACCATGTATTTATCTCGCAATGAAGGGGGCTTGGGGTTACCGTGTTTACGCACTTCTCACAAAGCAGCGATATCGCTCAATGCACAGTCAGGTTTGCCCCACGGGGAATGCTTCCTTGGATGGATATGGTCGAGCTACGGAGGATAATTTACTTATTTAAACACGGCTACCCTTGCGGCCACCTACTGCACTTTTGCTGCCTTCCACCCAATACTCCCTCAGAACCTGGGATAACAGTGCACAGACACCCATACATACGTCAGCTTACTACCAACACTTCCATTGCATACTTAGAGCGACGCATCGACGGGTTGTCTACACAAATCTGGGAATCCAGGGGAAATAAATCATTAGATGATCAATGCAGGGGTACCTCGCTGAGCTCTTTTCAAGAACTATGCCAATTAAACAGTCTGTTATCCCGTGACTTTAATAAATACCTCCAAATCAAACACTTTCTATACTCACATACGACAGACTTGAACTTCTCGCTCCCTTATCCTTTACTACAATTAACACACAGACATCCCTTCACCAGGCAAGTTATTCCTATAAATTATCAAACTCTTGGCCACTCCCACATAATGCTAGATGGGAAAGGGGCCTTAATATCTACATAGAGGATTGGGAATAGGCATCATTTTAGGAATAACCTCAGTGGACTCACCCACAATGCTTCACACCTGGAACTATTATACAAAATTATTCTACGTTGGCACTCAGTACCTGCCTGGTGGACTCATATAGACCCAATCAGCGATATGCTGTAGTGCGTGCAGCATAGAGGGAAAACACAGCCATGTCTGGTGGGGCTGTGTTAAGATTTAGCCTCTGTGCAGCTCAGTTAGGATATGTCACACTCATGTATCACCGTCCCCAGGGATGGCCCTCCTGCACCTTTTCCCAGACACCTGGTCTAGGTCACAGAAATTACTCACCTCCCATACTTTTCTGGTGACTAAACAGACTCTTCACAGAAGCTGGAGAACTACAGAAATTCCCACCGTAGCGGCTATACTTAATGTTCTGATACACAATAGCACATGGGAAAAGATGGGGAACTGGGGGGTGTGACTGAGTCGGAATAACCTCACAATGTATATTTGGGTGCTCTAGCATGTTCCTATAGTGCCTTCTTTTTCTCTCTCTTCTCCTGCTGCCAGTCGCATTTGCTCTCTCTTCTCTTCCTCACAGCGTATGTACATACAGGGCTGCCATCAGAAATTTTGGGGCCCCTGACACAGCTCAAGGTCTGGGACACCCGGTGCCTGCACCCGAGTCCGCCCAAAGTGCTGCCGCCCCCCTGAGTCTGTCCACAGGGATGCAGTGTCTGTACTGATTCTGGTGTGTGTATAGTGGATGTAGAATGTGTGTAGTGGATGCAGAGTTCGTGTGTTAAGTGGATGAGGTGTGTGTTTAACGGATGCAGTGTGTATAGTGGATGCAGATTGTACATTTGTGTAATGTATGAGGTGTATATTAGATGCAGAGTGTGTGCTTGTGTAGTGGATGTAGTGTGTGTTTATAGTGAATGCAGAGTGTGTATGTGTGTGTGTATGTGTATGTGTAGTGGATGTAGTGTTTGTGTGTATTAAATGCAATGTGTATAGTGAATGCAGAGTGTGTGTGTGTGTGTGTAGTGAATGCAGTGTGTGTAGTGGATGTAGTGTTTAGTGAATACAGTGTGTGGATGCAGAGTGTGTCTTTGTGTAGTCGATGTAGTGTGTGTATAGTGACTACATAGTGTGTGTAGTGTGTGTTTGTGTAGGTACTGCAGAGTGTGTGTTTGTGTTAGGAAGTAGTGTGTGTAGTGACTGCAGAGTGTGTATGTGTGTGTGTGTAGTGACTCCAGAGTGTGTGTTTGTGTAAGGATGTAGTGTGTGTAGTGACTGCAGGGTGTATGTTTGTGTAAGGATGTAGCGTGTGTAAATTTTAGTGAATATTGTGTGTAAATGCTAGTGTATAGCGTGTGTAAATGTATGGGGCTGCAAAATGTGGGGGGAAAAACCTACAGTTTTTTTTCTTCCATTCATTAATTGTATTGTTTTATTCCCCTCTCCCTGTATCTCACCTGTGGCCATGGAGGGGGGAGATCACATTGGCTGGATCCGGAGGTCCTGAGGAATGGTGCATCCCCCGCAAACTTGAAATATACTGCCCAGATGCTCTGCTCTGTCGAAGTCTCATGAGCCGTGCGGAGCGTTGCCATGGCAATGCTCTGACGATCACGTCGCTCACGAGACTTCGACAGAGCATAGCATCTGGCAGTATATTTCAAGTGTGCTGGGCCCCCTGCAGAATACAGGTAGCGGGGGGGCCGCAGTGCACAAATACATAGCGTTAATCGCTATATATGTGTGCACATAGCTAATGTGGGCAGTGGCGTACACACAACCAATGGGGTCCTGGTGCGAAAACTGATCCGTGGCTCCTCTCCCCCCACCCACGCACGCACGCTTACTCTGCGCGGGCTGGAGCCGCAACACATGGCGGCAGGCACCTGGTCGCAGGGCTGCGACTGCACTATGTACGCCAGTGCATGCAGATACACTTAAAGGACCACTACAGACACCCAGATCACATCAGCTCAATGAAGTGGTCTGGGTGCCAGGTCCCTCTAGTTTTAACCCTGCAGCTGAAAACATAGCAGTTTCAGAGAAACTGCTATGTTTTACTAAGGGTAAATCACAGTGAGAAGACGCTGAACGTCCATAGGAAAGCATTGAGTAATTCTTTCCTATGGGCGGTTTGAATGTGTGCGCGGCTCTTGCCCCGCATGCGCATTCGGAGCTAAGAGGCGGATCAGGGCGGAGAGATCCCCAGCGCCAAGGGAGTCCGGCGCTGGAGAAAATTAAGTGCTTAAGACACACACACTCTCTCACGAACAGACGCATACACACTAGCTAACAGACACACATTTACTAACAGACACACACTCACAAAACAAACACACACACACTCAAACATACTCTTACACACTAACACAAACACACATACATTTTTTTTTTTTTAAGTTTCATCCCCCTAGCTTCCCTACCTTTGGGAGTGCTGAGGGGATTCCCTGGGGTCCAGTGGCAGCCGGCGAGGGATAACTCTCCCTGGCTGAGTGCTTCCTGTTCAGCTCCCTCGCGTGCCACGTACTGATCACGGAGCCGGAAGATGACGTCATCTTCCGGCTCCGGCATCAGCGTGGCGCGCGCCCGCCGGGCACAAGGGCCAGCCTCGGGGGACCCTGAGGTGACCGGCTGCTGGGCCCCCCAGGAGAAGAGGCTAGCCACAGTGGGTACATACCAGGTCACAGGGCGGCCGGGCCCCCTGCGACCCCGGTATGTATGCCACTGAATGTGGGGCCCGGGACGACCTGAGCAGTCCGGGCTCCCCCAGGACCGCCGGGCCCATGACAACCGTTATGGTTGTCATGCCCTGATGGTGGCCCTGTGTACATAGCTGGACATATTGGGGTTTGAGGAAAATGTGTAACAAACAATATTGAAAAAAAATTTTTTTTAAAGCAATTATTGACCAGAAGGATTCTTTCTAACGTGACTATGTTGCTGTGCTTTACGTGGAGTTATATGCAATATACCTCTTTAATTTCAAACTGTTTTGTAGATGCCATTGTCAATGATAACTCCCAACTACCTTTTTTTTTTTCATTACTAATGTTAGACATACAGTGATCTCTGTATGGTAATAAGACTATGCGTTCTATAGTCCACTCTGCCCTATGGGTCCACTTGTCACCGCTGTACATTATTTTTCTTGTTAAAAAAAAATGAACATTTTTTTATATCAGACATTTTTGTGTTAAGATTGAAATTAAAAATGTATACTGTAAGTCACCACTTAGCAGCTTTAACTCCATTTTGTAACAAAATGCAAAAGGTCAGACACATTTTGTTCCTCCCTAACTCTGTTCATTCACTGACTAAAGGAATGAAGCCAATTTAAACACTAATCAGAGATAATATTTCTTCTTTCAGTATAACTAAGAAAACCAGACACAGGATTACCAGAAAGAGATAATGCTCAAGTAATTTTACTTTTTAAATTTAATTGTTGCTATAAGGATCCATTGTAAGAGAAAGGTGAACCAAAGTCCATATGCGTCAAAATCATACTTTATAGCCCAAAAACTAGACTAAAAGTCTGCTGCATAACCCTTTGAAGACTGACAGATATTTGATGAAGGGTACCTAGAAAAGATAAAATTTGTGATGTCAAATGCATCACGAAATTCAATTAACCCCTTATACAAAGTGGTAGTTGGCATTCGTAATGACCATTTCTTGTGGTGTTACAACGCCATCTATTGATCAAAGTCTAGAAAACAATCAAGAGAATAAGGTACACCCACCTGATTCCATTGGTCACTTTAAATTAGTGACGTAAAGAAAGTTAAGATTTTCCTTAAAAATTGAGAATAGCCGGAGACGAATCAATGAGCATTAACCAAAAGTTGGACAAATCTAACTGTCTTTTCCAACTGAATCTGGGTCCAAGTTAAAATTCTTTACTAATCAGAACTTTCTTAAATACTTAATGTCCATTTAAACATACTCATACTTGCATCCACCATTCATGGAATATATTACCAAGCCAAAAGAATTTCTACGAAGAGAGCTGGTAAATATGCTGGCTTCATTTAATATAATTAATTTTTATTAAAAGTAGAAATATACCTGGATAATGCTCGTCAGATTTCAAACCTTTGAAATCATAATTAGCTGAGGAAATATATGGTTCTACATTCCATACCTGCAGGTGGAATAAATGAACAATATATTTACTGGTAATTTGCCAAGTTTACCATATCAAGCTATTATCCAGAGATATTGACTTATCTGAATTTAGGGATAATTCATCTTTAATCAGGAAAGTTAATAGTCTGCAGCGGTAAAATTTGCTTAGAATTATTCTTTTGACTTACTGAATGGAGGATAATAGTTAACTGACTTCTTGTACAACAAATATTGTATCTGTTAGTTGCAATGTTAAAAGTGTTTTTCCTGTGAGAATTGTAGCCAGCAGTGAGTGAGTTAACTCAGTGTGATTTAAAGTGATAGTAAAAGTTTTTATGACTGGAAGCTGCTGCGTGCTCTGTATTTTTTGTAAAGGGATTCCAAAACGGAGATTTCTGTAGCAAATCTTGTTGAAAATTGAATCTATGTGGATATAACTGTTGATTAAATTCTATATGAATTATTGGTAATTTTGCATGTAACTCCTTTAGAGGTTAAATGAACATATGTTGTTATTAAGCTATCTTTAATTGTGTCATAACTGCTGCCATATTGTATACTTATGTTATACCTAAATATTCATTGATTATTGTCACGGATGTTAAACATTATTATTTGTCACAATAAATGACATGTTTTATAATTTGTAATTAATGTGTGAAATACAAATACTGTAATAAACATATTCCATGATCTATAAGAGTTAAAATAGTAGGGTAACTCTTGCCAATATATAAATGTTTTATATTAATACAAAATTATTAAATTAATTTATGATAATTTTTATAAAATATTTTTAATATTTATCACCCAATTTAAATATTTATCACCCCATAAATATCCTTGTTCTGTGGAAGAAAAATAAAGAAATAAGAGGGGAGAAACTCCTAGTGTACCCCAGGTATATAGTCGAACTGCACTACAGACTGATTACTTACAACAGGGGGAGGAGGGGGTGAGACAATGCAATCCTAGCACCAAAACACTAGTGGTTACAGTGCTGGAATATTCCTTTAATTATAAAGCAAATTAAACAAGTCATCCAGTTAAAATACCGACAGTGTGATAAATGTAATAAATTCTGTCCCTCATCTGTTACACGTGCCAGGGGAGAGGCTAAGGAGATATAGACTCCCATCACTTTCAGGATGCCTGGGGCATGTACGTGCAGTACTACAACCATCTGCACCTGTGTGTTCTACACTCCACACCAGCTGGTATCTGGCAACCTCACCGCCAAAAAACAGAGCGTTTTAATGTGGATTAGTGAGACGGATACAGAATATACTTAACTTTTATTCACGGCAAAATAAAGTTCTACTAATAAAAACAATATCTTATAAGAAGAGTGGAACATAACCTAAATAGTGCGTTAGAAGAGTGGATCACTGTTATTGCTGATCATCGAGAATTGTCAATAATAAACTAAGGTAAGCAGCATGCACTACAAGGCTCGGACTAGACATCGGGTAAATGCCCGGTGGGCCCCAATGGCCATGGACCAAGGACGACATGTGAGATCAGAGAAACTTTTCTTGCCGGCACTATCCAAGCACCGGTCCTGCCGTGTGCCATGATGAAAGATCAAAGATCTCCTTCCTCGTGCCTGCTGGAATTTCACTGCAGGAGATGACCCAGGAGATCTAACAAGCAGCCAAGTTCTTCTATGGTTAGCATGGCAACACTCCAAGGCCAAATGTCGCAAGAGGAGCTGCAGGTTAGAGTTCACTCACCACCGGACAACAAGGTCTCCCTCTCCCATCCCCTCCGCGTGTGTGGGTCTCCCTCTCCCATCCCCTCGGCGTGTGTGGGTCTCCCTCTCCCATCCCCTCGGCGTGTGTGGGTCTCCCTCTCCCATCCCCTCGGCGTGTGTGGGACTCCCTCTCCCATCCCCTCTGCGTGTGTGGGACTCCCTCTCCCATCCCCTCTGCGTGTGTGGGACTCCCTCTCCCATCCCCTCTGCGTGTGTGGGACTCCCTCTCCCATCCCCTCTGCGTGTGTGGGACTCCCTCTCCCATCCCCTCTGCGTGTGTGGGACTCCCTCTCCCATCCCCTCTGCGTGTGTGGGCTCCCTCTCCCATCCCCTCTGCGTGTGTGGGCCTCCCTCTCCCATCCCCTCTGCGTGTGTGGGACTCCCTCTCCCATCCCCTCTGCGTGTGTGGGACTCCCTCTCCCATCCCCTCTGCGTGTGTGGGACTCCCTCTCCCATCCCCTCTGCGTGTGTGGGACTCCCTCTCCCATCCCCTCTGCGTGTGTGGGACTCCCTCTCCCATCCCCTCTGCGTGTGTGGGACTCCCTCTCACCATCGATGTGACACTGCATCCACTATACACAATGCATTCACTACACACACTGTATAACATAATGGATGTGCGCAAAGCTTTTTTGGGGGGGCGGCAGGGGGGCATCATTTTTATTCTTGGGTTCTTAGGCCGGCTCTGCTCTCTCCCAGTCACTCACAGCGAATATCTCTCTCCCAGCCACGCACAGCCGGTGTGAGTGTCTCTCTCTCTCTCCCAGTCACGCACAGCCGGCGTGAGTGTCTCTCACTCTCTCTCTCTCTCTCTCTCCCAGCCACGCACAGCCGGCGTGAGTGTCTGTCTCTCTCCCAGCCACGCACAGCCGGCGTGAGAGTCTCTCTCTCCCCCAGCCACGCACAGCAGGCGTGTCCCTCTCTCTCCCCCACCCACGCACAGCAGGCGTGTCCCTCTCTCTCCCCCACCCACGCACAGCAGGCGTGTCCCTCTCTCTCCCCCACCCACGCACAGCAGGCGTGTCCCTCTCTCTCCCCCACCCACGCACAGCCGGCGTGTCCCTCTCTCTCCCCCACCCACGCACAGCAGGCGTGTCCCTCTCTCTCCCCCACCCACGCACAGCAGGCGTGTCCCTCTCTCTCCCCCACCCACGCACAGCAGGCGTGTCCCTCTCTCTCCCCCACCCACGCACAGCAGGCGTGTCCCTCTCTCTCTCCCACCCACGCACAGCAGGCGTGTCCCTCTCTCTCTCCCACCCACGCACAGCAGGCGTGTCCCTCTCTCTCTCCCACCCACAGCAGGCGTGTCCCTCTCTCTCTCCCACCCACGCACAGCCAGTGTGTCCCTCTCTCTCCCAGCCATGCACAGCCAGCGTGTGTCCCTCTCTCTCTCCCAGCCACGCACAGCCAGCGTGCGTCTCTCTCTCTCTCCCAGCCACGCACAGCCAGTGTGTGTCTCTCTCTCCCCCAGCCAGTGTGTGTCTCTCTCTCTCCCAGCCACGCACAGCCAGTGTGTGTCTCTCTCTCCCAGCCACGCACAGCCAGTGTGTGTCTCTCTCTCCCAGCCACGCACAGCCAGTGTGTGTCTCTCTCTCCCAGCCACACACAGCCAGTGTGTGTCTCTCTCTCCCAGCCACACACAGCCAGTGTGTGTCTCTCTCTCCCAGCCACACACAGCCAGTGTGTGTCTCTCCCACGCATTCCCCTCCTGCCAATCATTTCATGTAGAGTGGCCAAGGCACCGCAGAAGAGAATCTTCTGTATCCTCTACCCAGTCTAACAGGAAGTTCTCCACCACAGTTCACTCGACCACGCTACAAGTAGGTAAGCTGGCACTGCAAAAGGAGGAAGACAGCAAAAAGAGGGGACGGACAAAGAGACACACAGGGGACTGAGGGTGGACAAAAAGACACAGAGTGGGGCAGAGGCAGATACACAGGGGGCAAAGTGAAACACAAAGAGGTTTTAGGGGGCAGAGACACAAACAGAGGGGTTGGCGGGGACAAAGACAAGGAGGAGCATACTCAGAGGGGCTTAGCTGAACAAAGAGGCACACAGAAGAGTTGGGGGGGATATAAAAGGCACACAGGGCTGGAGGAACAAAGATACATGGAGGGGCAAAGAGACACATGGAAGGACAAAGACCTACAAAGGGAGCTGCGGGGGCAAAGAGACACAGTGGGGCTTTGGGGGGACGGAGAGACAACGGGACTGGGGGGACAAAGACACGCAGGGGCAAAGAGACAAACTTGGAGGAACAGACACACAGAGGGGCTAAGGGGGGCAAAGAGGCACACAGAAGGGCTGCGGTGTCAGACACAGAAGGGCTTAGAGAGAAAAAGACACACATACAGGAACTTGGAGGATAAAAAGACACATGGGGCTGAGAGGGACAGAGAGACACACAAAGCTGGCGATTTTTGTTTTTTGGGGGTGGTGCAAGTATCTGGTCTTATCTAGGGTGCAAAATAGTCTAGCACCAGCCCTGCCTCAGTGTGAGTGTCTCCCACAGACCACATCACTGTTTTATTCAGGGGCACTTATGCCCCGAGTAAGGGACCTAGCAACTTGGTCTTCTAAGCTTGCTCTCAAACTCTGTTAACAAATAAATTGTATCATTTTAACTCTATATTTATGAAAAATATCCCTTATTAAAAAAAGAAATGTTTACCCAAATCTAATGTTCACTCATCATTGAGTGTTGTATCTCATGTATTTGTGTATATGTCTTTACCACCCACCTATCGTATGTGTGAGCGCCCAATCCTCGCGGACTGCCTGGGAGTGTGCGTTGCTACTCCCATCTGCAGGTCAATCCACTTTGTGCAATGTGCATGTGCTCTATGTTACACCAAAACTGTCCAATAAAATTCTCTCAGGGGGACTCAGAATAGGAGTATACCTCCCTTGAGAAGCTCAATAATCAAAAATGAAATATTTTTTTTCACTACTGCATATTGAAACTTGATGAAAACATTTTTAACATAATTAGTTAGATTTTCTGTAATATAAATATTTTATTATTTATATCAGTGTTCTTTCATTCTAGAGTTATCCTTTTAATATGTTTATGGGAATAGAATAGAATAAAGCAACAACTGTACATGTTTCACAATGTTAAACTTTATTCCTGTTTACTAGTAATAAAAAAGAAATTAAAATTAAAATCTGTTTGTTTTCTTTTAACTATATGCCTATACTGTTTTTCTTCTCATGTGGGAAACCATGTTAGTCTCTGTAGCGGGCCGAGGTTAAACCGACTGGTTACATCAGCTAATGCAGAATGAAGAGACCCAGTAAACTGGACGACACACTGTTCCAGGGGTACAACAACCACTTTATTTGGCCACACAAACGCTCCCCCTGGATGCCGTTCGTCTATATGAACGGCGGCCACTCAGGGAAGCACTCATTAATTACTGGGTGCCATTATTAGCATTTATAAATCCCCAACAAATTCCGCAGCACTGCACGATAGGTGTGTGTCTGTCAGTGGGTGCGTGTCTGTCAGTCACTGAGTGTGTGTGTCTGTCAGTGAGTATGTCTGAGTGTGACTGGCACCCTCACCTTTTTTCCCACGCTGTGTTGGCTCGCAGTGGCTGGCCCTGCCTCAATGGCTAATAATCATTCTTGATGATCTCAACCACTCCATTGCTTCCCATAGGATAGCATTAGGAGACTACTGCGCATGCGTGGGGAAAATGCCTCACTGCGCCTATCAGCATCTACTCATAGAGATGCATTTTCTCTCAAAAGGCAGTGTTTACATTGAAAACCCTGCAGGGACAAGCTATATATACCAGAATCACGATATTAAGTGTTGAAACATGTCCTGTCCTTGATAATCAGCAGAATTACCTGCCATGGTCTTATAGTTCTAACCAAACTGTACCATGCCTTCAGTAGTTGGAGACACTCTTGAGAGACTATACAATGGAGTCTGATTCAGAAAATGGCCAAAATTTATTAAACAGAACACCGCTTATAAATCTTATGCAATAAGGGGGGTCTGGAGGGAGTATCATTAAATACCAATCGAATATTGACAACTATTAACTAACAACATGGAAAGGTTGTGCAGACAGCATAAAATATGCAACAAATTGATTCTAAGTTTATCTAGGGGGCATTACTAGAATAGGAGGGTGTAGCGATAGGGTCTTACTAGAAGAGGGGGAACAAAGATGGTCATGTGCCATACTACGTACGTGATGTCCTTTCAATGTACAAGGTTGTTACTCTTATGATTCAGTTGAACAAAAATTAACCACTTCATTAAGCTGTAGTGGTTCTGGGGACTATAGTGTCCCTTTAAGAATTATATTTTTGTTGTTGAAAATATAGCTTAGTTAGTTTTAGAAAAAACAACAACCTGACTCCTAACTAACCGCGGATTAAGTCCACATAGTAGCAGGTGTGGTTTGTGAAATAGGAGCCCGGGCATAAGATGCTGCCTACAAAGTATTGTGTAGTGGGCATGTCCAAAGGTGATGTGAACTAGCACAGCTGGGTATTGTCCTAAAAGCTAGGTAGATTATCCCCAAAAATTGTCAGTAACTGCATTTTTCTCCTGCTAGATGTTTAAAGACCACACAGTTTAAGGTGGGAGGGCACTATGAGTCCAGGGTAGATGGAAGAATATTGAATAAATAAAATGAAAAAAAAATAATTAACTATTTTTCTATGATATTTCTAGCCTTTCAAAGCATGGCAAGCAGATGTGAGTAGTAAACACAGTACCATATACCCATTCCGCTTTACAAAGTGTCAGATAAAATAAACCAGTTCTCTTTATTTTTCACAATCGTCAGCTAACATGTCCTTATCAAAGTGTATAAAATACCCATAAAAAAACCACAAGTCACTACAGCCAACTGACAACAAGCTACCACAGCCCGTGCAAAATAAGCTACAAAACGGCCTAACCCAGCCTATAATGGCAAACCATTGCAAAAGAAGATTTTTTTTTCAATATGTAAAAACGTATTTAATCTGTAAAACATACGGCTGACTAGGAAAAAGTTAATACTTGAGTAGGAGATAGTGCCATTTTCTGCAACAACTGGGGTACACCAAGTT